CGCCTATCAGACAATCCCAGGGCAGCTGCATGTTTAAGTGCTGAACGCTTTGGAGATTGCTGGATGGACGCTCTCACGCGCACCACATTTTCCGGCGTTGTTACGGTCCGAGGTTGGCCAGGCGATTTCTTTTTCAGTGCAGAACCTGTTGCTCTAAAGTTTGATACCCAAACGTGAATAGTTTTTTAATCCGGAACAGGATCATGTCGGCCAAGTTCGAACCGAATGCGAAATGCTCGCTGAGTAGTAATCACCGATTCACCATTACGAATATACTCTTCCACAACAAACGCACCATGCTCACCGTGCCACGCCATTGCGACTACTGCAAATGGCACTTATACCGCTATCGATCGATACCCCCTCCGCTGCCGTATCCCCACCACAACTCACACAGCGCCCTCTCCAAATACGGGAGGTCGATTTGCCGGACCCTGTATATTACACACGGCATTTCTATAAAAAAAATGTAAATTTTAATTAAATTTTGCATATATTCAATGAATGTTACAAGGAGCTCCAAGAATTATGCATGCCATACAAAAGAAAGCAAATTTGTACAGGATAGGCCTGATAACCTCAGAGTCTTTTTGGCCAGTTCCATAATTTGCAACAGATCATTAAAGGAAGGCACGAGGAGCTTGACAGAATTACTGTTGTCATCAGGATCGTCGTTGTCATCATTGTCACTGAGCCTTCCTTAGAGGATTCTGCCAAACTTATCTATTCTGTCATGTACCAGAACATATGATTTTCACTTCTTTAGGTTTCCCAACACTTAACTGTTTCACAGAACAAGGCCGTCAACATTGTGTCCAACAACCAACCTTGAAGACCAGGTCCCTGTATCTATGTTCCCCAGTGACTGGGTGGCCCAGTTACACCCCAGACACCACGTTACCTCTTCGTCAGCTTCTACGACTTGCAGGACTATGGTGGAGGTATTTTAACCCACCTCCACATAAGAAAGCTTCATAGAACACATTATAAAACACACAGCTATATATTATATAACTGTGACAATTATAATATTTTATAAAAGCTAAAGACATAAGATCTAACTTAATTCAATCACCTGCCACTCGAATGTGCTGGAGGCGTGGCATCAGCTCACAGTCAAAGCAGCACATGGTGTCTCCCGTGAGGAAACGTGTGCCCTTTCGTCCGAGGTGCTCATTAATCTTACGCAGGTGTGACATCAGACTGTTAGTTTTTGTATCATCTTTCTTAAGCAACATGAGCTTCAGTTTCTGAAAGCAGAACACAAAACACCAATGGACACAAATAAAGATATTTCACCAAGAAGTTCATGTGCACGAAATAAAATAAATCAAGTACCGAGCCAATGCATAAAAGTCTGCTTTCCCACTCCATGGATTTCCTGTCCTACATATCTGTTACCACCATTATTTTTATTTTACTTGTTTATGTAAAGAACTTATTTAGAGTATGTTAAAGTTGTGGGACAGAATCTCACAGTTCTGCGCCATTACCATGTTTGTAACTGTTCACTTACAAAAAAACATTTCATACATAATACGCAGGTCGTACTGAAAGTCATGAGCAACTTCTTTTTGCATGCAACCTGGGAACAGCAGATGAAAGAGAGTATGATGGTAGGTGGAACCAGATGTTGTGTTAACCTTGAATGTCTTGTGACGTCAATAGCTTGCATCATGTGACCAGTATCACTCCTAACAAAATGGCCGACAACGATATGTTGTTTTGCCAGCATGCTATCATCGACTTTCTTGTGAAAGAGGAAATCCTTGCTGCAGAAATTCACCAGACTTCAGCGTGCTTATGGAAGTGTGTACATGGGTGCAAGCAGTGTTCAAAGATGGGTGAACCATTTTAAAGATGGGAACACCAGCATCGAAGATGAGCCTCGGAGCGGTTGTCCTCGAACAGCCTCAACTGAACGCAACAAGGAAAGAGTGGATGAGATCATTCAAGATGACAGGCGTGTGACTGTGGACACAACAGCCTGAAAACTTGGAATAGGGCACAGTGCAGTACAGGAGATGATTGAAAGCTTGGGCTATAGGAAAGTTTGTGCTCAATGGGTCCTGCGGTTATTGACCAAAGACCACAAAGGTCAGCGAAAAGCCATCACCTCAGAACTGCTGCAAAGATATCGACATGAATGCGATGATTTTTTGCTCTGTATTGTGACAGGTGGCGAAAAATGGTATCACCATTTTGAGCCTGAAACGAAACGGCAGAGTATGGAATGGTACCATTTGCATTCTCCATCAAAAAAGAAGGCAAAGACAGTGCCATCAGCTGCGAAGGTGATGGGCACAGTCTTCTGGGATGCAGAGGGGTTTATTCCGGCCAAATTCCTGGAACCTGGGCAAACCATCAATGCTGCTCATTATGTCCAGATGCTGCACAAGCTCCATCGTGCATTGCGCGATAAACGTCCGGGACGAAACATCATCATCCTGCATGACAACGCTCACCTCCATGCTGCTTGCCTCACATTGGAAGCAACTGCAAAGATGGGGTGGGAAGTTCTTCCACACCCCTCCTATAGCCCTGATCTGGCACCCTCCAACTACCATCTTTTCGGATTTGTGAAGGATCAGCTGCGTGGACAACGTTTTGAGACAAGGATGGCAATTCAGAAAGCAGTGCGACAGTGTCTTCAGATGGCCGGAACGGAATTTTACAGAAGGGGAATTTTCAAACTCCCAGAAAGCTGGGAGAAATGTGTACAAAGAAGTGGCGATTATGTGAAAAAATAAAGAAAGGTCTGCAGATTGAGGTGGTGTATTTGGTTTGTCAATAATAAAGCATGTTACTTTACAAAAAATTGTTGCTTGTGACTTTCAGTACAACTCTTGTATGTATGTCTATTTATGGTGGTGATCATCATCCAGACCACCAGACTAGAAGCTAAAGAAAATGTCAACACAGCCATCATGTTGCTATTTTACATTAAAAAAATTAAAAAAAAAAAGCATATTTTCAAAGAACTATTGCTGTACTTTTGCAGACTAAAAGTTACATAATTTAGAAGCCATTTTACTGTGACACTTCGGACCACTGCCAGGTTACTGCCTCCAAACATGTCATATTCTTTTACACCAGCTAACAAAGCAGCTTAAGTTGTAAAAACAACACAGTAGGCTGTGGACCATCTGAACTCTATAGTCATTAAATTGTTGGACCAAGATATGAAATGCTCTGAGAGGGGGAGACATAAGCAGGGGACAGGGCCCAATCAGACGCCACACCAAGAATGCTCTGACTGCCTGATGAGGTATGCCAAAGTAGACTAAAACGCCCACTAACTCCATCACTGTAAAACACACTTCCAAGGTACAAGGCTGGTTTTGATTAGACTCAGACTGACTAATGGGGTTACAATATTGCGACATGTCAAACCATTGTTGGGTAACGGGATATGGAACGAGGTTACGCAACAGTAAGGCAAGCAGTGTGTGTTTGTGCCGTGCCATGCCGAGCCGAGTCAAAGCATGCTGGTTGCTACACAGTGTTGCAGTAAATATCTCCCGGCAGCATTGGCAATCCCTCTTTAAACATGGCGATTATGCAACAGTGAAGCAAGGTGCGTTTTCCACTGTCAGACTGAGGGTTTATAAGAGTAACTGGAATGCCTAGGGAGTTCAGTTGAAGGCTGACAGTCACCGAGTATAGTTGAAGTGTGGAAGGACTATAGCAGAAGGGGTAAATGTGACCCTGTGAATTATGTAAGTGAAGACTACTGAAGATAGAGTGAAGAGATCGGTCTGTAAATTGTGTAAACCCCTATCAGTGTCATAATTGTAGTTACGACTTGTAGGTTGTTAATAAAACAAATTAACAATCAGAACGGCGTCCACAGTAGCCCAAACACATTAGAAAATGTTCAGGATTTTACAAAACCATGGAGTCATTATACCTTTGAAGTGAAGGAGCAGGCAACTGAGAATTATGGCAGACAAAGCCATCAGCGTTAGTACAGCAACTCAAGTGGCAGTGGAGTTCATACCTATACAGAATAATAGATGTTTTTGTAGTGATGCTAGTTTAGATCCTATAATGTTCCCAATCTCAGCAACAAGAAGAAGTCACTTAGCTACAAAGTGGTAGGTACAGGCATAAGATTTTTTATTTTTCATTTCATTATCGGGCAAAGAATAATCTGGCCATCTGAAAGAAGGCTGTGAATTGCTGCATTACAACTCAATGACGCAAAATCTTTATGAAAAATTTTATAGTTGCTTATCTGATACAGAAGTTCTAAGTTTACAGAACGCCAAAGATGTTGGGAGAAGATACCATAACTGAATTGGTAATATGCACCATAAACTACAACAAGATCCAGTTGCTACTGCCAGAGAGCACACCATTACATAAAGTTGCAGTCTGTCAACATTACTGTATTATTTCCCTTTTGAAAATAAAACAGGAACCACAGACTTTATCCCTTTTGCTGGGTATGACAGAACAATAACATAACGGGTATGATGTACGCTGATTTCAACTGCATACAGCTCCTGGATATGATGAGCAACGGGGCTGCAAATTTTACTTTTGCAGCAGTTGGAATTTTATTGTCTAGATGGAGACACAGGATAAAACTGCCATCTATCCAAATTTTCTCCATTACATATGTTCAGGCACCAGGAAATATTGGTAAGAAGTGGGTGAAGGAAGAACAAGGCTTGCCCATTCATTCAAACCACCAATGAAAGGGCAGATGATATGACTGAGTAACAGCAGGAGATAAAAGTCAAGATTCCAGGTATCTGTGGTGGATCAATGATATACTGGTGAGATTAAAGGGTAAAGTGGCGAGAGATAAAGCGAAGGAAATTATATATCTATCTATCTATCTATCTGATGCCGGAAGCAGCGTCATCAGCAGCGACTTGAAGCACAGAGCAAATGATGCTCGAGATGGTTCAAGTTCGTATAGCAACAGGCGTGACCAGAGTGGTTTGAACGGCTGCTGTACTGCGATGTGGAAAGCAAATGGAAAAACTACCACATTATCACTTTTCCTGGATAGTCTCTTTCCAAAAACAGAAGATCGCATTAAGTGGAGGAACTGTTTTGGAAGAGACTGTGGACCTGTCGTCTGACAGATTACTGATGAATGAATGAATATGTATATATAAGCAATGAAGGATTTCACACATACACAAAAGGAATACTTATGTGAGGCACAGAAGAATGGAAAAGGCTTATATCATAAGATGGCCATATTACTTCCTGGCTATGGTTAATTTTTGTATATTGCTTTCAATAATACAAAATAATGTCTTTTAGTTCCAATTTTTGAATACCGGAACATACAAGAATGCATATCTTGAAGAGGATTACATGACATTTGCAAAAGAGGGTCTGGTTATGCATGAAACTATCAAAGAGCAACAAACCTATATGGAATTTACAGAGAAGAATTACGCATAAAAGAACTTCAGAGAAATTAGGTTTATGTGATATCTGTGAAGAGACACACAGGACTTCAAAGTAAACGTTTCCTCTTGACAGCAAATCACATTTTAACAACAGATCACCTTCATCAATATAATCAATTCCTCTCACACTATAATTTTGAGACTGTGATTCCCTGGTATTGGAGTAAATTTTACTTAAAGTTAATCATCTTAAATAACACACATTTACACAAAGGACACTATCAACTGCTTAAGAGCTATTTCTCTCTAAGAAACATGAGAAATGGTGAGAAAGTGGAATTAACTTACGCTGTACAGATTCTCAACAAGAGTGGCAACTTCCTTATCTTGCACAAACAGGTTGTGACCACCTGGAACATTCTTCATGATGTGCCGCTCTATCTTCTCGTTCTCCAGCACTGCAAGCCCATTGTCAATGAGAATGGGTGGAGGTGTTGCTTCGAAGTTTGTTCTGTAATACGGTGGGTTCATAATTTAAATCAAGATATCAGGCTTACATAATGAAGGATTTTCACATGCTAATAAGAATGGTGAGAGATGGATAAATACAAAACATTACTCCAACATAAAATGAAGATTTACAACAACGTGATGATAAGGATGTAAAAAACCGAATGACTGTAAATATAACTTCTCCTTGCTTACAATTTCTTTATTAAAACTGTCACAACACAATATTAAGGTCAGTGCCTAGTTTGGCACCGCTACATGTTTCAGCTATTAAGAAGCCATCATCAGGCAAAATACGAGTACATGGCTAACATATATACACCATTGAACCGCAGTACTAATAAACTGGATATAGTAATATTAATTATATTAACATTAATATTACTACATCTACATCACGAGCCTCCAAAATAATTTATATATATATATATATATATATATATATATATTGTCGCGTATCGAGCGTATAT